TTGTTTTCCATATTCAGTTTTATTTAATATTAAATTCGTTAATATTCATATAAATATTAAAGCAAAGAAAACATTTGCATTTAAAATGCATTAAAAGTTTTATTGTATTTATTTTAATTTTAATATATCTATATAGTCCTTTGCTTGAGAAAAATCTATTAAATGTAATGAGTCCATATTCAGTTTTATTTAATATTAAATTCGTTAATATTCATATAAATATTAAAGCAAAGAAAACATTTGCATTTAAAATGCATTAAAAGTTTTATTGTATTTATTTTAATTTTAATATATCTATATAGTCCTTTGCTTGAGAAAAATCTATTAAATGTAATGAGTCATTTTTCTGGTTTAACAATGGCTCCTTACCCACCTCTGGCTGCATTATGTTATCGTAAATAAAATTGGCGAACGCTGAAAGTAACTGGAATTAAAAGCAAACATTTTGATAGCTATGAAAATTTTGCAAAAATTTGTGTTGTCGTCGACGAAATACCCTAACTTAAACGAGGCAAAACTTGAATTAAATACTTAAAATATTCAATGATTGAATGCGAATCTTTGCAGTTGGCTGATCTTGAAATGTTTCAATCGATGAGTTTGCATGAATCGAACTTGCCCCACATATTATATTGAACTATAAAGAGGTGATTTAAAAAAGCAGCTGGAACAAGCTTCACACACAAAAAAAAAAAAAAAACATGCACAGAGTACACAAACACGCCACACACTTAACGGGCAAAAATATTTGCTGAAACGCATATTTACTTGCCAAAAACAAAGCCAAACGAAATTGGTTGGCAAACAGTGCCAATAACAGCAACAACAACAGCAGCAACAACAACAACCACGATGATAAAATCGTTTGGCGAAATCAATTTGCATTGGCCAAAGGCTGTGCGAGCTGTGAGCTGGTGTGCAAAATGCAGCAAACAAATCAAAATTAACCAATACAAGTGGGCCGAGCTGTGGGCATGACGCATGTGGCACGCAGCAGGAGGCAGCAGCCAAAGCCACAGCATATGCAACAGTGGCATACGACGGCAGCAGGCGAGAGAGTCCTTAAGCCAGTGCTTAGCACACAAATGAAAATTTAATATTCGCATTACCACAGCGCTGGCAGGAGCAGCTAGGAGAGTTCTCATGGTTTCTACTCCACTGCGAGCGAAGCGAAGCAATCTCCTGCTGAGGGTCTTGCATTCACCCCGCTCGCACTGCATGGCTAATTTTAAGCCATGCCATGCATTTCGAATGGCTTTAAGGGACCGACCGCCAGGCCTTCGCAAAGAGTCCGTCACGTTGAGGTCGCGCTGACAGATGGTTCATTACGCGCCCAGCGAGAATGCGTTTTAATTACCAAGCAGAAGGCGAAGCAAATCAATTATGGGGCAACTGCGACTGCGACTGCGACAGTGACAGTGACTGGGGCAGCTGCTGCAGCTTGCTGCGGGCCAAATGTCAACTTTTGACCAGCTTCGCACCTGCAGCTCAATCAACTGGACGCAAGGCAAATAATTCACGTTTTAAGTCCGCACGGCCCACTGTGGTGTCGTGCATCAAAGGCTCTCGCCGTGGCGATATTATTGCAGGTTTAATGCGGTTTCACGTGCGGCTCCCCTTGTAATTTACGATTATAGCTGAGTTAACCGCACTTCCGCACACACACACACACACACAGACACTTGTACTAGATGCGGTTAATGTGACTGTGGGCATATCATAGCTCAGTTGTTGGCACGTGTGCGTGGGCGTGGCTGTCAAACCTTTAGGGCCATTAAAAGGCCTCTGCTTTGGCATAACTAATGTGCCTATTAAAATCGCATACAACTGCC